TAGTAGGATGTTGCACTAGTTGTGCATTCTGAAAATTATCCACCATGGAAGGGACATAATCCAATATTCCAAATGTTGTAGGGACTGACTCCTCATGGAATTGAGCTTGGTAAAATTTGATTGCCTCATCAGCCATGTCTGCATTATTTTCCAACCAGTTGCCAGCATTTTTCTATATCCTTTTCAGTTGCAGCCTCTTCCTTCTACCATTCACTTGTGCATGAAAAAATTTTGTGTTTCTATCACCATCCGGGAACCAGTTCATACCAGCTTTTTGCTTCCAGAATTCTTCTTCCAAAGCTAAGTATCTGATCAATTCAGCTTGAATTTTCTGCAGTCTCTCTCTATTCTGAAATGTTGGGTTCCTTTCAAATTCTGCTTCATGTGCTAGGACCACTTCTTCCAAACTTGCTATCTTCTGAAAAATATCCCCATAAGTAGCCCTACTCCAAATAGTTAAAGCCTTTTTCAGTCTCTTTAACTTCTGATTGAACACAAAGAAAGGGTCCCCTACAAAATCTGATTTCCAATTTTCCTTAACCACTTCCATGAAAGCTTTGTGTTTTGTCCAGAAGTTGAGAAATTTGAAAGCTTTTTTGATTGGGACCTCATCTTTATTACAGGTTATCATCATAGGGATATGGTCAGACCCTATTTTTGATAAATGTGATACTTCTATAGTAGGATACAACTGCTGAAGCTCCAAATTCCCTAAACATCTATCAAGACTCTTAAAAATGCATTCCTCTTCACCTCTCTCATTCCACCAAGTATCAATACTACCTTTGAATCCTAGGTCACTGAGATTGCAGATGTTGATACAATGCCTAAAATCATTGATCTCATTCAGTGACACAGGCAAACCTCCAAATTTTCCTCTTCTTCTCAAATAACATTGAAGTCCCCCCTACTATCCAAGGATAAGACATATCCTTTGCCAAATTGTACAGACTATCCCACAATTCAATACGTTCTATTGAGTCACATTTTGCATATATAAAAGTGACAATAAAAGATAGTTGTGTGTCCAGCTTTGTAAATTTCAAAGTTAGTTGTTGTTCCAGGTCATATACTATTTCCACTCCATGATCATCATCCACAAATACCCAAATTTTGTTGGAAACATTAGAGAAAGCTTGCAGCATACCTATCCTTCTTCTATATCTTTCCAGCTTCTTCCTTTTTTGCTTTGGCTCCATGATTCTTATAAATTGGAAATGATGTTGTCTTTGCATTAAGATTAGTCTCTCAAAAGCTTGCATTGTCTTCACTGACCTCACATTCCAAATGATAGCATTCATCATTAATTGTGAGATTTAGATAGAGTCCTCCTTGTTTGGACCCCAGGTAATATACTTTGTGAGTCTTTTGGATTTTTCCTTTTTCCCCTACCAGCTGATTTAATTATATCCAGGTGTCTAGGTGACAGGTCCCCTTGTCTTGCCACATTCTTGAAATTCTGTGTTGTAGTTTCTTCATCATAATACTTACATATGCCTGCATCACCTTCTACATCGTCTGCTCCCAGTTGATCCCTTAGTTCTGAAAGATACTGTTGGGTTATAGTGTTTACCAATGTTGCATTCTTCTTTTCCTGTTGTTTTGTTCCTGCTATTGTAATCTGTTTAGCTGCATTCTCCCATGTTCTTGACACATCAGTTCTTCCTGCTGGTTTTTTAGGAGGTATATTGGGCTTTGCTGAAGGTAAAGTCTTATTAGGATCAGGACTCAACATTTGTTGATCACCTTCAACTTCTGCAACCATCTGACCCCCTTCACCTTGATGCTCCGCTTCTTCATTGACTCTGCTCTCTTCCTGTGATTGTTGATTTTTTCCTTTGTTAACACTTTGTTCCTCTTGATCATTCTCCTCATCTTCTGATTCTCCTAGTACTATCATTAAAAGGCAATCTAGTGTGTTTTTCCAGTGGGCAGACATTTCAATTTCCTAACCTCCTTTTACACTCATCATATGCCAAAGTAAACAAATGCCTTATTGCTCTTATAAAAGCATATCCTAATCTCCTATGCCACAGCTCAATGTCCTGACTTTTATTCCTTCCAACTATCCCAACAATACAATGCCCTTCCTTTCAGCAGAAGATTGAGGAAGCAAGTAGAGTCCTCTCATTTCTCTACTAATTCATTTACATTTCCACTGCAAAGGTATTGATAGATGCAAAAATTAGGGTAGAAGCCAACACAACAGCTTAGAGCTCTGGTGATCTTAGATACTGATAAGAGATTATATCTGAAATCAGGTATGTATAGAACATCATCAAGTCTTTCTGTGTTCATCACATTATAGGACCCTATGTGTGTTACATATGAGACTCCTCAATTAGGTAAATGTACCCTTTTTAAATCATTTTGACTAACTTCTAGCCTATTCTTCAGTAGTTCTAGGTTTGAGATCATATGATTTGTTGCTCCAATGTCTATGATTCATTCATCACTATATTCATTTGCAAAGAAAGCTTTAATACTACTCGCTATATTTGTTGAGCTACTTGCCATGTTTTCTTAGCTTTCAGGTATGTTTTCATTGTTGAGGAGCTTCATTATCTGGTTATATTGTTCTGCAGTAAAATGTGGAAGCTGTGGAGTAAATGCAGGTCCTTTAAATGCATCTGTTTCTCTCAATCCATCTAAAGGTTGATTCCTTCCTCCCCCTGCATTAGGAGGTATGGTATCTCCCAAAATCATATTATGTGCAGAATTGCCTCCAAATTTCTCTTTGAACTTGAAATCCTCTGGATAGCCAATCAACTTATAGCATCCATCTCTTGAATGGCCCTTCATCTTGTAGTAGTCACATTGGATATTGTAATTCTTTTTAATTTTCTGAGCATAGGATCCCTTTTGTGCTTAGTAGAGTTGTTATTCAGCTTTGTCCCCACCAATTGTCATATGTGCTATGCTTCTCTGTATTTCTCTTTCAACCAGCATAGAACAAGCTTTGTTCACTATTGGAAGTAGCTCCATCATCATGATATGTTCACGAGCCTGCTCATATGTCTCGTTTAGCCCCATGAGAAACTGCAACAACTTTTGCCTCCGCATGAAAGTCACATAATCTCTTGACTTTGGGCATTCACATCTAGGAATTGGTGTTAAGCTGTCATATTCAGCCCAGAGTTCACGCAATTTGGAGTAGTAACTGGCAATAGAACTAGTTCCTTGATTCACTGTGGCTATTGCTTTATGCAGTTGAAATATTATAGATCCATTCACTTTGTCAAATCTCTCCTTTAAATATCTCCAAACAGCACATGCATCTGAAGAATATATAACTCCACTTAATAAGTCCTTCGAGACACAGTTCATTATCCACGATAGAACGATAGCACTGCAGCTCTCCCATAGATCTGTCATATTTGGACCATAACTTTCCTTTTTACAGGTTCCTTCAATGAATCCCATCTTATTGCGTCCTAGGATCGCAATACACATTGCTCGGCTCCATATGGAATAGTTTTTAGATCCTGTCAGTTGCAGAGAGATCAGTATCGCTCCAAAATTATCTGTGGAATGCAGAAATAGAGGATGATTATGGCTCAAATTCTCAAGCAAAGTGTTGTTTGTAGTTGCTTCCATTGTCAAACTCAGAAATCTTCAGGTTGTTCCCTAGAAATCAAATCGATTCAGAAGAAACTTTCTCCTAAATTGAAGCTGAAAGTTGATGAATTTAGCTAATTACGAACTTTTAAAATCATAATAATGGCCTCATTGCTCTAATACCATGTTGAATTTAGGAGGTGACAGCCCTGGAAGCTGAGCTTCTTAGAGGAAGAAATGAAGGAGAGAAGAGAGGAAATGCAGTAATCGACTTTACTGTTGTATTGAAAAGCTGTAAATGAAATCTGTACATAGCCCCTTATATATAATGCTCACTAACTATCCTAAATAATGACAACTAATTACAGTTGTACTACCTACTTAACAAATAACAATAATCTGGTATCTCCTAACTAACTAACCACCACATGTGCTCCTCACGTGCTAGGTTATTCCCTCCTCAACATCAATTCTATGTGCATTTGCCCCGCTTCATCCTTTAATTTTTTTAATTTTTTCTTTTGTCATTTAATTTTGAATTTTCAGCATTGATTTAATGCTTTCACTTGAATTATATATAAGATTATAAAACCAATTCAAAAGTGTTTTACTTTTAAATATCTCTAGTCATCGGTTTTGTGGCTTTCGTATTTAATTTTCAGGGAAGTTGAATTGAAGTACCAGTTAATTATTTGACATGCTTATTTAGCATGACATGTCTCCTGGCATTATATGCCGGGAGACATAACTGAGACTAAACTTCATAACTTCATGATATTATGCAAGTTAACATGCAAACTTGGCTCCCGATTAATACTTGTATCTGAAAAGTGAGTTCTCTTGCCCATGGTAAAACCAATAATTGAACCGTTAATAATTCATAACGAATTAATAATATTCGTCGTAGTTTCTGACATTGATGTAAAAACCTCAGTATTTCATTTCATACATTTGCCATGCTTCTACAAGTGAAAAATTGAGCAGGGCTTAACACGCAAATTAATCCATTTGCGTGTCTGTGTAACACGCGCAACTCCAAAGATGATTTCAATAAAAATTTCCAACTGTACCTATGAATAATATTATAAGACATAGATGTTGAAAGATTAAACATATATTGAAATCTACGGAGTATTATTTTTCTAGATAACGGGAATCAATTAACATGAAATTCTCCTCAAATAAAAAAGCCAGTAAGCTAGATTTCTCTAAACTGATTTGTTTAAAATCCTTTTATTATACATAGAGGAAGGTGAGGCGTTATAAGGTGAAGAATTAAATTTTCATCAACAGATCAAAGTTCAGATAGTCAACCAAATGGATTACTAAAATTCTCATTTCCTAAGCTGATCGAAAGTCAATGAGATCGGTGTATACCTAGGAGCTTCTACTTACTGGCATGAACTTCAGGATTTGAATGACCAGATAATTGCAGTTCTAAATCAAACTTTGCTCTGCTGCTTTAATTTATCTGTTTTTATCTCAAGACTTTCTGTCTCCAACTTCGATTTCTCCTTATCCTTTCCCCATAGGGCACCATAGAATCCCACTACTGTCAAGAACGATCCTACAATTCTGAAATTCACAAACAATAAATGTAAGTTAAAATTTAAAAACCAACAATTTGGATTGGTGAAATGAAGACTTACGTTCCAAGATATAGTTTCTCACGAAGCAAAGTCCAACTAAGAACGGCCGTTATGATTAGCATTAAAGGGTAGAAAACTGAGACATAGAGAGGACCTTTTCTTTGTATACACCATGAAGTTAGACAATATCCTAACGCAGTACATACAATTCCCTGAAATTCACTATTGAATTAGATAAAGAATAATAATACAAACAATAATTTAAATTTAATTTGTTAACGTAATTATTACATTGTAAAGAACGGCAATAGTTCTCATACGGTCTAAAGACCAAGCAGCTTTGTCACGAACCACAAAAACCCCAATTATCACACATTGAAAACTTGCCATTAAGCACATCAACATTGTACTTGTGTATGGAGCTGCATATTTCTCGCTCACTCTTGCCTGATAAATAAATAAAAAACCAAATTTGATGAATAAGTTAATATTTTTCCAGCAATGAATTATTTTTTAGTAAGAAAATTTGAAAAAGGGATAAGAATGTGCTTTGTTTGGTGATAGAAAAGAAAGAGAATTACTTGAAAAATAATCCACAATGAATAAAAAATAGTGCTAACAATAAGCAATAAAGGTCCCAAGATTAAGTTGACATGGCCAGTAGAATTCTTTTCCTCAGTATTTTCTGCAAATTTCCAATGGATGCCAGATTGACCAATTACAATAGGTCCATGATACAAAGACAATAACATGGCACCACCAACACATATTATTGTACCACACGCTTTGGCTTGCCCTGCCTTACTTCTAAACCCAACTTTCTCCAACCTGCCAAATTAAAATTTACTTTTCTAGTAAGTTTCTGGGATTAATAATGTGTTTAATATATATATATATATATATATATATATATATATACGCTCATATTAATTTGAAGAAAAGTAGTAATTAAATTTGTTACCCAAAAGGGATAGCCAGGAGAAAAGTGGCTGCTGGAATTAAGTTTGATAATGCACAGGCGATTGTAGGAGTGGAATTCTTTAACCCAACGAAGTATGCAATCTGACTCACGGTTAACCTGCATATTGGATAGTGGATACGTACCAGAAATTAAGCGTGAATGTTCAAAGGAAACACACAATATCTCGAATTATCATTTAAATTTGTAAAAAATATTTATGTATTTGTTACTCAAAACTTTAAAATAAAATGAAACTGAGGGAGTAGTTACGACATATGGATGATGTGCTTGAAATAGAGAAAACTTACCCGGAAAAAGAACATAAGAAAATCCAGAATAGAATAGATGATGTCAACTGCGGCTTAGTTTTCCTGGATTGAATTAAGCAAAGCTGATTTAGCATTTAATGAGTAGATTTTCAATGGTTATAGATTACGTCCTCCCGTCCTTTTTACCTGTCCCTTACACTTTGACATAATGATTAAGAAAAGCTTTGGACATTATTAGTCTTTTAAGGTATCCTTATATGTGTAATTAATTAATGAATCTATGACTTCTTAAAGTAGAATGGGTGGGATTTAAAAAAAAAGCTATTAATGTCTTCTTGGAAATTCAAAAGTGATAAATTTTTTGAACCAATTTCTTTTGTCTAAAAAAAAGGGTTAGATAAAAAAACTAGAGGAGTATTTTTTTTTTTTTTTTTTTTTTTTTTTTTTTGATTCCCTTTCCCATTTGATCCCTTTTGTTTTGTTGAAGCTATTATTCCTTTGGTGACTCGAATCTACGATCCTAAGGTTATAGGTAGGGGAGAAAGGGAAGAGGGTGCTGACCATCCGAGCAACCCCTCTTCTCAACCAGACCAGTATTCGATAATATTCAGTGTTATCCCCATTCGTACAATTTTGTGATTGAATGAGGGGTAATTACCACTCGAAGAAGTAAGCAAAGGGAGCAAGGGAAATAGTTCCAATTATTTGGCGATAAGCAATGTGGACGAAAGGGTCCATTCCAGCATCCATGACAAGTGTTCCAACAATGTTCATTCCTGCATAGCCAACTTGCACCATTACCATTATCAAAAAAGGTAAAACTTCGTTACCCATTTGTTGTTATCTTAACTATATATGACGATAATTTGAGTGGTTTAAAATCTAATTCTGGATGGTGACTACTAAGATGTGACGGAAAATTATACAAAAGGGTAAGCATTTTATAGATGTAAAAGAAGACCAAAATTAATGAGTAGATTCTAAGGATGATGATCACAAGATAAAGAAAGGGGCCACATATGGCAAAAACATTTAAGTTCCAATTCACAGCAGACGGCATATCAGTGTATACGCTACAAGTTAGAGCATTGTGCATCATCGATCTCCTTTTCGATACGGTTTGAGGAAGATTTTGTAATTTCTCGTGTAGCCGCAAGATATATAAAGTGATACAAAACAAACATTAGAAACCAACCAGCATGCCAGAAGAAAAGAATTATTATATTGTTTTTTTTATTAGCAAAGAAAAAAGATACGGCTGATTCCACTTCTAATATTGGTAATTGCGAGCTTCTATCAGTTTGAAGATTCCACTTGCCGATGATATAAATTAGTAAATACCTATTTGGTCGCACCCATTTAATCTATATCTATTTTTTTAAAAAGTTTTAACTTGTACCCACTTTTTAAATAATTTTAGTCTCATTTCTCCTCTTTCGTCTTCTTCTTCTTTCTTCTACTGCTGTTGGTGCTGCTATGAAACTTCTTCATGGGATGATTGTTATAAGTATGTTTATCAGATTATCAAAAAATAAATTATAAATAATTACGTAAGTTAGTAGACAATAATTTGTGAATATTTCCACGTATGGGAAGTTTAAGGTCACACTTAGTGATTCTTTTCATGATAATTATGTTCTTTTCATGTTTAGTGTTTCCAAAATTTATAATTTAAATACTATTGGCAATCTGATTATTTATCTAGTATGTTAGAAAGCTTTTTCAAAAATTTCAGTTTATATAGTGCTGAAATTTTTACAAATGAACTAAATAACTTCAGCATCTTCTGCTAAAGTTTTTGAAAAAGCTTATCCAGGACAAAAAAAACTTCAGCTTATTTAGTGCTGAAGTTTTTATAAATGAACTAAATAACTTCAGCATCTTCTGCTGAAGTTATTTAAAAAGCTTTATGACAAAACTAATGAATCCAGGATAAAAAAAACTCCAGCTTTTAGTTCTTAAGTTTTTACAAATGAACTAATAACTTCAGGATCTTCTGCTGAAGTTTTTGAAAAGGCTTATCTAGGACAAAAAAAAAACTTCAGTTTATTTAGTGATGAAGTTGTTATAAATGAACTAAATAACTTCAGCATCTTCTGCTGAAGTTTTTGAAAAAGCTTAATGGCAAAACTAATGATCCAGGATAAAAAACTTCAGCTTATTTAGTGTAATTACAAACAAAAACTTCAACAAATAGAAAATAAAACTTCAGCTACTATGCTTAAGGTCAGCAATTACAAACAAAAACTTCAGCAAATAGAGAACAAAACTTCGGCTACTATGCTTAAGTTCAGCAATTACAAACAAAAACTTCAACAAATATAGAACAAAACTTCAGCTACTATGCTTAAATAAACAAAAACTTCAGCAGCACGTGCTACTTCAGGTCTGTCTACTAGAATGCTGAAATTTTGCGTGATTGTCTTTGCTACTTCAGCCCTGTATGCTGAAGTTACGCGAAAAAGTGGGTACGCTTGAAATTTTTTTTTGCAAAGCGGACACACGTTAAAACGTGACCCAAAAACGGGTATAAATGCTTATATCTAAATTTTAAAGTGAAAATAACATGGGCTAGCAAATTTTCGGACCAGTAGTCGAGAGAGCCAGCATTTGTAAAGTTATTGAAAAATAACCACTATTTTAAACGGAGATAAAATCTGAATAAAAATTATAAAATTCCAACACATTATACTGGAATCTCATACAGAGGCAGATCTAGGATTTGAAGGTGGTGGGTGTTATTCCTTTAATGTTTACCTTGTAATGACTAACACGGAATTTGTAAGGAATGTTTATTCAATTTTTTTGAATTTATTTAGGTCAACCTAATAGGTGTCTTTTATTTGAATATATAAAAATTACACCTAAAATATCAAAAAATAAATATAATTAGCATTTTAAATAAGGAATACCACATGTATTATAACAACACAAATAAAATAAATATTTTCACTAGGAAATTACATCTTTTTCTACATATTGAAAATAAATTTACACAAGTAAAATAACATTTGCAATAAGGGAATTACATCAACCAAAATAAGATTTTTTTAAAAAAAATGTCTTTAGTAAATAAATTATACCCACAAGTATAATTAAATAAACTACAAGTAGTAAATCTCATTTTTAAGAAATGCTTACGAAATTTTAATCATAATTTAATACTAACGATATTTAAATTATATTTAATAATTATGTAATAACAAAAAAATTTATGATATAATAGAAAGGCAAAATTTTGTTTATCTTAATCCAAAATTCCCATAAGACACAAGTTGTTCGGCTTTGAAAGAAAAAAACTCATAGATTTATGATAAAGAGGAATACTTATTTTATATAATTTTAAGTTTTTGAGTCTATTTTTCGAGTGTTCTTACTAGAAATCACATATAAAATAATAAAATAGAGAAAAACAATTTAAAATAATAAAACGACAAATAAAAAATTGGGAGGCATTTGAAAAAGGAAAATGATTGGGATAAAAGGAAATAAAAAACACAAAGAAAAAGGGAAAGACACACAGGGTTCAAGACAAATTCCAATTTGAATTTTACAAACAAGAAAAGCTTTCAAAAAGGTCTACCAGTCATGACACCTTTGTCTAGTTTATAACTGCGGGTGGCAGAATGAGATATTTAACCTAATTTAAGAAAATTTCAATATATGTATATAAAAAATTTATCCTCTTAGCGGGTGCCATGCCACCCCTTTCTAAAGGGGTGGATCCGCCCCTGATCTCATATGTAATTCAAATTCTAGCATATTATGCTGTAATTTTCTCTGACCTTTGAGGCTACTTTGTTCACATTTTATCTTTACATAAAAAAATGGTTAAATTTTAATTACTTTAAATTGTGACTATTTTTTAATTATCAGTTGTAATCATGCTGTTTTTGATTATTGTTTTTTCCAATTATAAATGTGTAGTGAATAAAGCCTATTGGAGTTTAGTCGCAGTCCAGATTTTTGTGACAGAATAAGGTAGTAATATGGGCCAGGTTTTGGTATTTTCAGATGGAATCCAATACAATGAGGTGGAGACGCAAATGTAAGCTTGTTTGAGAATCCCAGAATATCAGGGCCAAGCTTGGAGGGCTATCATTTTGAATTTGCATCATTACAATTGAAGTAAATAATGCACCATCATGAATGTTACCAAATCATAGTTTTGAGGCATGTGTTGTGTAATACTCTCTTCCTTACCACCAAACGTCGTGGAGCGATCGGGGTGGAATGATAAATACTCCTCTATAGTATTAAGAGGCTGTTTAGTAGTTGGTTAGGAGAAAAATTATCCATGTATTGGAGGCAACATAACTTGTACAATGTTGGGTAATCATTAGTTATGCTGTACAAAATTCTGCATAACTAATACCATATTTGGTTGTAATTTTACAATTTTACATAAATAATACATGTATAAGTTATAAGTCAATCTATGTATTATTTTATGCAAGGTAGGAAATGAAATAACTAATGCATGTATTAATAATACATTGAATGACAAATTTATCCCTATCACTTTATAGATAAATGATTCCTTCGAAAAATTGATCTGTATCAAATCCTTTGAAGAGCAAGCATGAAGATGCCTCACTGCTAGGCTATTGCTTTTCTCAATCTATTAGATAAAAAATGAGTATATAAGTGTTTTACTTTAAAATTTATATAATGTATATTAATATCTAGTATAAAAAACCAAATGTTCAAAAAAATAATTCTTGTGTAACTAATTCATGTATAACTATATCTGTATAACTAATCCATGTATTACTTATACATACATAATTAATACCTGCATAATTAATACGTATAGCTAATACTTGCGTAACTCTAATAGACGACCAAACGATCGTAATAGTTATAAAGAGAGCTACTAGTTGACTGTCCAACATGAATCATGCCGCACCTCAGACAAAGATTGTTATATGCAAATTAATCCGCAAAGTTGTGGGGATAAAGTGTAAAATAGTGTAGACCAATAAGTTAATTTTGTCCACCACACTCTTTCAACACCTCTAGTAAAAATTACTTCTGAAAATAAAAAGGAAGAAGAATAAAAAAATAATTTGTCCATACATGGGGAAAAGAACAAAATGGGGACTACCCACCATGTCGGTGGAGCCCACACATTGTTTCAAACTATTTTCAGGAGCTGCCAACGTTCTACTAGTACTAAATGAAGTTAACTGAGTAGTCTGTTTCTACAAAGTAGAGCCAGTCATGGCTTGGGCCTTATTCTTACAACAAGCTTCAGCTTATGTTATCGTCATTTCTGTACTTTCCTCTTGTTTTCTAAACCCGGTTCTAGCTCAGTGTAAAAATGCGCCAGTTATTTTCAATTTTGGTGATTCTAACTCGGATACGGGTGGACTCGTGGCCGGACTCGGGTACCCGATTAACCTCCCAAATGGTCGAACTTTCTTCCGCAGATCAACTGGTCGTCTCTCTGATGGTCGCCTCATTCTTGATTTTCTCTGTAAGTCCCATTCACTCTTGCTCCTTTTTTTTTTCTTCCTTTTTTTCTATTTCTTTTCCTGTTACTTTGTTATTTTCTTTTCATTTTCTGTAGTGCTTTGTTTAATTGTACATTGGAAGTATGAATTTGTACGGAGTTGGTTGGATCCACTGCATGCATTGGTTGGTAGGTAAAATATCATATCTTTGAAAGATTGTGATGAATATTTGATTGGGTCCTACTTGGATTTTAATGTTTGTAAGCATCTGGCATTTCATTAAATGCAAGCTTGACTACTGTGGTTTATTCATGCAATCAAATTGAGGACACTAATAGCATAGCATTGCATTAGTTACAAAATTTATGCTCCTGAAAATGTGTCCTTGTTCAAAGTTTATTTTACATCATCCATTTCATAATGAAACTTTGACTGGGTAAACTATGATCTCTATAGTACATAATATAGACCATTCACTTCTTAATCTTTTGAGAAAAGCTGAACGGAAATTGTTGAATATACTATTTACTTTATACAACCTAAGTTGAAAGTGTACTTTGCTTCATTTCATTTAGCTAGTCTCTGTTTTATTGTGCACCGGGCTGCCAGCTGCCAACAGTCTCTGTTTTATAATGTGATATTCTTGTAAATATCAAATGACAGAAAATTGGTAACTCATTGATGGCTGAAAATATCAGGGTCCAGAATAAACTAACGATCTTCAGACGATGGTTTACTCTGGGTTTTTTTGTGTCATTCTTTTGGAAATACGGTCGGATCTCTCGATAATAGCATCTTAATATAATAGGCATTCACTATAAAAACCAAATTTTTCTCGGACCTGATTTTTATGTTATGTTATAATATATGTCCTATATGACAACACTTCACTATAACAACCAAAAAATATTGGAACAAACGAGGTTGTTATAGAGAGGTTTGACTGTACTTGTTTTAGGCAAATTGAATCATTTAATGAAAGACTATAGCACTACAATGAAAGTTAGTTGAGTGATGCTTAATGGGACTACTTTGTGCTAAGTTTTATTTACCTTGGGAGAACGGGTGCATGCTGCAACAAACAAAGAAAAACTGCATACATCTTTTATACAGATATCTAAATGGATTTCTTCTTTCAGTTAATAAAACGTGAAAGGTAATTAGGACCTCAATTGTCATGAATATTATGCAATGTGCAAAACAATTAGGATTATTATGTCTCCTACTGTATTGAGACAGAACATGTAGCAGGTACCTTCATTGTGTGGAAAATAGTTACCGCGGATCTTTTGGTTCTCACATTCTTATCATGTGCCTTGGGAATATAGAATATCATGGCAAATAAAAATGAGGACAAACTTGAAGGTTGTAATAGGGATCGCACTGAGGAATATTTCCAATATTTTCATGTCACTATTTTTCATAGAACTTTCAAAGATTTTTTTATGCCTTGCATTATTCTGGGATATGTATGGCCCTCCAGAAGCACTATTTCCCCTCCTACTATATATGAATCAACGATGGTGTAGTTTATAGTATATCTAGTTCTTAGTTTTGTTATGGACACATAATTATGCGCTCTCCAAGTATCATGGGATACCAATGTATGTGAGCTGATATTGAATTTTTGTCAGTGCAGGTCAAAGTGTTAATACAAGGTTCCTGAGCCCATACCTAGACTCTGTGGGTTCCACTTTCTTGAATGGAGCAAATTTTGCTATAGCAGGATCTCGTTTACTGCCTAAGTATGAACCGTTTGCATTNGTACGGATCTCTCTTGATACTCTCAACTAATTTCCAACATAACTGTGCTTAGAAAATCCACATCTGCATACTTTGAGGTGTTTCTAGTAATACTGAATGACATAATCTCATTAATGTGCTGTTGTTATGAACACAGAATATGTTAGTTATCAAAGCTGAAAGTTTATAGCTAATGTGAAAATTGAAACCTAGTCCTTGATTTTTCCCTTTTGTTCTAGTTTAATATCTAAAGAGCACATTTTGTTTCAAATAGGTCTCTCTGCCCTATACATTTTTGTCTTTTAGTAGAACTCTTTTGGAGCTGGTGGAAAATAACAGAGGTTATCTTTATAATTTTATCTGCAAGAATGCACCTATTAGTCAGTGAAAAGAACTGAACTGGAATTGCCGAGCTATGTCCAAATAAAAGTAGTAGAACATTAAAAAATTTATATACCCTCGGATCTGTTGTATTGGCTATTCTTACATGAATGTTTTCGATTAAACTACCCAGTTTGCATGAGGACTGGAGACCAGCTAGGCCAGCTCTTTCAATTCAGTTAAAAGATACTTATATAGTGCGCAACATGCTCATTACAATTTCAGATTGAGATGGTGTGTCCCTAGTTTTTTGGTTTTTCTTGTTCATTGCTAATAGAGCATCAAACACAAAGAGATGTTAAGCTTATGAAACTTATAGATAATTTTTGTTACCCATGCTAATGGCCTGTACCGAGAAGTGTGAACATGATCTTGACTTAGGTTCATATTGTTACATCCAGGTTCTGGAAATTTGGTTGGTGATGAAGGATTCCGCAATGCTCTTTTTATGATAGATATTGGACAAAATGACCTTGCCGATTCATTTGCTAGGAACATGTCTTACACAGAAGTAGTCAAGATGATCCCTTCCTTTGTTACAGAGATCAGGAATGCAATTCAGGTAATTTCTTCAATCACTATTCATTCACTTTCCCCTGCTTTCCCGACCAAAAGAAGGAAGTACAACACAAACAAGAACATCAATAAGTTAATATGAAGAATAGCATAGGAAGGATAAAGTTAGTTAAGAAGCGTTTCACAGCAGGGTTAATGAGGTGTTAAAAGGTTAGCTACCTGATTTATGTGATAGCAGTTTTTGCCCCCAAATGAAGCTTAGAGCAATAGAGTCGAAGTTTTATTTTGAACCCCGTAGGTGAAGTGTACTTACAAACATAACCATGGCGGGACATGACACGTGTGGGAAAATTTAGGACATGAATGCACAAAAGACATAGTCAAAGTAATAAAAGACATATCTTTTAGTTTGTAACTTATTTTATACAATTAAAATAGCAGATATACATAAATGTAAGCAAGCATGTTTCTGCAATCTACACCAACTGACATGGCTCAATTTAGTTATCAAGTTTTTGATATCGCTGTCTTCTACTTGATCTACTTCACTCCATATTTTAAAGTTGTAATTTAGCTCTGCATTCTTATATTGCTAAACATATCCATTCTTGAGCATGTACCAATAATTGGAGAACCAGATGCATGTCCAATCCAGTATCTAAGTACGGTAAATTTTCAGAGTTTCCCCTATTTATGGCCTTAATATCTGCATGTGAGAATTCAAGTGCATTATTTTTAAGTTCTAAGAAATTTAATGAAGACAAGCATTATAAGTGATGATATTCCGGTACAAATTCTGTTAGTTGGAACTGGCATGTCTACGGCTAAAGCTTTTATTAGATACGAATAAAAAATATTAGTGCTCCATCCTTTCACATAAAATTTAAGATTTATGATTATAGCTTAAAATTAGATAGTTTTTGAGTCTGCCCATTCCCTTAAACTTTTCAAATGTAGGTCATATATTCTCAAGGAGGGCGGAAATTTTGGGTCCACAACACTGGGCCACTAGGATGCCTACCTCAAAAACTTACCCTGGTTCAGAAAGTTTCCTCTGATCTTGATCCACATGGCTGTCTTGCAAGTTACAACTCTGCAGCAAAACTGTTCAATGAAGGGCTGCGACATGTGTGCCAAGAGTTGGGATCTGAAATGAAGGATGCTACTATTGTATATGTAGACATATATGCTATCAAATATGATCTTATAGCCAACTCCAGCAACTATGGTAAGCATAAAACGTTTCTCGTTTGGTTAGTCAGCTAGATTTTCCTAGTTTTTAGGTTGTGAATGATCAGAATGGATCTACTAAAGTTGGCATTGAAATGCTGATATTATTAGTAAATAGATTGGCTAGCTCCCAAAATAATATGTTTCCTCCTTATTGTACCCTCATGTACAGAGGTTCTTTTCACTTGTCATCAAAAACTTCTTGCAAATTGAGTTGTTGTTATGGGTAGAATGTCTCACATTGGTTGAGCGGGAATGAGTTATATGGTTTCACGACATTCCCACCGTATGAGCTAACTTTTGGGAGTGAGTTAGGCTTAAGGTCCATTTCTTTACCGTTACCTTGTTCATTCACCAAACTTGGAAAGTTTGAAATTAAAGAAGAATGAGGGCTGAGAAAGCAACACAGTAATTATTCTCACGAGCTACTGACTATTTGTAAATAGTTGGCAGCTTACTAAAAACTACTGTTCATATGTTATGATTCTGCATTTGCAGGCTTCTCAAATCCGTTAATGGCATGTTGTGGCTACGGAGGACCTCCATACAACTACCGTAAAGGAGTGACATGTGGTCACCCCGGTTATCAGGTTTGCAGTGAAGGGTCTGAGTTCATAAGTTGGGATGGAGTTCATTATACTGAGGCAGCTAACAGAGTTATAGCCTCTAAGATACTGTCCACAGAGTATTCCACTCCGCGAATCGGCTTTGATTTCTTCTGCCATTGATAGTTCATTGCAAGAATAAAGTGCAAGCTTATCTTAGTTGCTGCAGAGAGAATGGTGAAAATTCTTTGAAGAAAAAGAATAGTAAAAAGATTCCGTTCTGAGTTCATATTGCTGTTCATAGAAAGAGGCCAAGGTGAACTCTTTGCTCTTCGTTTTGAAGTCATGATTCCCTAACACTATTTGTCTCAATCCACGTCTCCCCGTGATTTTAGGCATGTATTAACTTATTTTGTAGCTGTGTATTATTTATGATATCAAAGCATTTAAGTCTGTGTTTTCTTTAGTTTTCTTGCAAGTAATTCATATCATGATGTCTTCTAGTTGACATATTCCAAAATATAACATTGACATACTCATTAGTGTTGGTTTTTTTCTTTTTTCTTGAGAAGGAACAAAGAAATGAACTCTTTCGTATTGGCTTTTATATTGACCAGAAGAATGTTTCAAACTTCAATGAATCGACTTCCTTTTGTTCCTAGCTTTCTGGTTGAGTTTACTCGTGGACCCGTTTGGCCATAGATTTTGCCAAAATAAATTTGGGTTTTATTGACAAACACATGTTTGGCCATAGATTTTGCCTACATTTTGGCAAAATCCCAAATCCCAAAACCAGCTCCAAAATATCACTATTATATTTTTTAAAAATTGCGCCAAAATTATGTATTTTATAAAAGAACACCACTTATTATTTTGTAACAATGTTGCTTCGTCTTCTCGGCCATCTGATAGTGTATCATGTAGTTCATTATAAAAATAATAATTTTGTACCAAATTTATTTATGTTCAGGACTATGGTTTGCGATAATATAATGAATGTTATATGAAGATTTGAGCTTAAACTGAAACTGCCATTAGAAGCGAAAGAGCAGAGAAGAGAGCTTCGGAGAGAGAAGGAATATTCTATAAAAATGTGTTAAGTAAATGACTTTACATCTGAGCTGCATATATATACAGTAAAACTAACTCTAACTAATTCTTATGACAACTGTGATCTTGTTGTCAAATTAACTACCACTAACCGACTTAATTAAGACAAATAATAGCTCTTTCTTCTTCTACATAGTGCAAGTCACTGTAAGATAATTAATCTATAGCCATAGCAGAGATTAAGACACAATCATACAGATATAATATCATAATCTTGAGTTAGAGTCTAAGGAAGCATACCGTTAAACTCCATGGATTCAGCAGCGACAACAAACAGCGATTAAGCCTGAGACCAACTTTCACAATCCACTAGCTACGCGCTCTCACAGTCCGGAGAACTTGACTGATGGGACGTCTACTGTTACCACGTATTCAAGAAGCAGAATACGCTAGGGTTTTCTAATAGCTAGGGAAAGGGAGGTTGACCTCTATTTATAAAGAGTGTCTACCCATCACAGACCAATAGTTATTGGGTCTCACTTATCCACACACATGATATTTAATATTAGGCCTTTTATTTATGCACCACTTGGGCCACGTCACTATCCTTTCAGGCTATAACCAATTAACGTAAGTCCAAATTCCAACATTTTCTCACTTGGACGTTAACGTTAATTGAGGACAAGAAATAATTTTAAATATTTGAGTTTTTAAGAAAATCATTTTGAAAAAGGATTTTAGACTCTACGGTGGCCACACTACTCACATAGCCACAAATAGAATGACCCATATAACAATCCATTCAGTCTCAATAGAAAAGACTAATAATGAATCGTAGTAGGCATCGTACCATTTTAAGGTATGAATTCTATCTATGACCACATATGCTAGAATTTCCATCAACATGGATCAAACATGTGTGCTAAGCATTTTATCTTTTTAATCAAAGTGAAGATTCACACCTCTTAGAAAGAAATAATCATCCAAGTGATATTATAACCATATCACCTTAGGAGCCTCCAAGTGACACAAAATCATATCACTTCAGGAGGATTCCCTTGTGCCTTACCCGGGATAATCAAGGCAACAAGCTGCAAGACTCAAAAATATCATGAGTTTATGCAATGCCCAATTGGAAATAAAAAATAAATAAATTGTCATGTTAGTTATAAGCATAAGAGATATCAAATAACACAAGCTTGCATAAAAATAAAATTTATTAAATGCAATATCTCAGTCAACAATTACAAAGTAACTCACACTGACTAAAGCACATCAAAAGACTCTAAAATACCCATATTTTTAGCATGTTATTCAAACACTACAGGCCTAAGACCTTTAGTCAAATGATTAGTCAACATAGATTCTGTGCTAATATGCTCAATACATATATCACCTTCTTTTACCATATCTCTAACCTTAAGAAACTTAAGGCTAACATGTTTAGAGTCTCTTGTTCTCTTGTTACTCTTGGAGAAGAACAAGCTGCACTGTTGTCACAGAAAATAGTCACCGGCTTAGATATAAAATCCACAATTTGCAATTTAGTAAGAAAATTCTTCATCCAGACAACATGTGAAACGGTCTCAAAACAAGTAATAAACTCAGCTTCCATTGTAGATGTAGCGGTGATGCTTTGCTTCTAACTTTTTCAAGAAATAGCACCTCCACCCAACATAAAAATATACTCAGAAGTTGATTTCATAGTATCGTGACAACCTGCAAAATCAGAATCCGAATATACTAGAAGATCCAGGTCATCAACCCTTTTGTACACAAGCATGAAGTCTTTGGTGCATTGTAGATATCTCATCACTTTCTTTGCAGCCACCCAATGTGCCTATAGACACCTGATTTTTGACTCTCCCCGAGAATTTTCACATTTTTAGCGTGAATATGTGAAATTGGGTCTAATATAGCTATTTTAACTATTTTACTTTATTTCGTCGCAAAAGAAAAATTACAAAAAATATATATATGAATTTTAGTTTATGTATTTCTCATAAACTTGAAAATATACAAAACAAATGTACCTTAATTTTGTACTTTATATAATTTCAAAAATTACCAAAAAAATATAGTTCTATTAATGTTTTGTAGTCATTTTAATTTTTGAAAAAATACAAAAATATTACTTTATATTTTATCTTTAAATAAAAACGAAAATTACAAAAAAAATATNATTTTGTACTTTATATAATTTCGAAAATTACCAAAAAATATAGTTCTATTAATGTTTTGTAGTCATTTTAATTTTTGAAAAAATACAAAAATATTACTTTATATTTTATCTTTAAATAAAAACGAAAATTACAAAAAAAATATAGTTTTATTAATATTTTGTAGCTATTTTAATCTTGAAAAATATTAAAAAAGATATAGCTTTGTTTTAAATATTAGTCTTATTTTGGTAGTTATTTTGCTTACATAGGATTAGTTGAGCAACGTCGTGTTCTTATTCTCGGGTCCGGGAAAAAGAATAATATTCGGGTTCAAACTACCAGTTTTTAGGCCTAATTTTCGGACCTAGCCCATAATAATCCGAGTCCACCACACATGGGGGACACACGTGGGGAACACGGACGGAACACCACACACGGGGAACCCCACCACGCGTGGGAGACACAAGTCTTGAACCCCACCACGCATGTGGGTCTATTTTCTTTTGCAAAAAACTACAAAAACACACGGACAAAGGGTGGGGAACGGACAGATTTTTGAACTGGGCACTATTCATTCATCTTCTCCAAAAGGAGAAGAACAAAAAACCCTAGGAGCCTACCCAA